GTACCCAAAACTTATTTTTATTATTATTTTTTAATTTAATTTTAGATCTATTAAATCTGAAAATTGCAGTTTTTGCAATCTCAGCATGCTCAACATGCAACTTTGAGTACCTTTAACAAGACAAGACTGATTTTCCTATTGAGAAGATTAATTTCTCATTGCTATTGTATAAGTACAGGCCTGTTTTCCCTTGTAATAAATAAACCTGAAGTCAGCACACGTAACCACCAGTATAATACGTGCATGTTGTGAAACTTGCATTGACTCAAATCTGTTTAATGGTTTTCCACTGAAAATTCAACATCTGCCAACACCACACAAATCTTGATAACTGATGTCATCATGAACCCATTAAGCCTTGGTTTTTAACATGTTAGGAAAACAAAGAGTTTATGGAAGACTGCTAACAGAGGGCTAAATCCTGGAGCCCTTATTCAACAGTAGGAATTGTTCCTTAAGTAAGGTGCAAGTTAAGAGCATCTTAAGCCTAGCATAATGTAAGCAAGCTCTTGTTCCACATTAAATTTAATTAGCCAAATCATTCATGAAAATGACACCATACAATATGAAACTTGTCACCACAAATCACCTATGTTTGTGCCTTTCGTCACTGAGACTGATTTGGGAATGCATGTCCTGCCACACCAGCTACCAGCTTTGATGTGTCACAGCTGTGATACTGAAGCAAGGAAAAACAATTTAAATAAAGGGGGAGCTCTATAGGAGTTAAGCATTTCCCCCAGAGGATCTAAAACTTCTCAGCAGAGGCCATTCAGAGATATATATTGCATAAAAAGGTTCTCATACTAAAATCTCATAACATGCCTGCAGGATCACTACAGCTGCAGCTGGGGGAAAAGCTGTGCAGTGCTGTAACAGTAAGGAGCATTCATCTAGATAAAGGAGGAATCCCATGTTATCTCTAACATCCATACACCTGCAAAACTGATAATGTCTTACCAGCAGTTTGTTTCCTGGGCACAGAAGTGGTTAATCACAGTTACAACACAAGACCTGTGGGGGAGGGAGAGTCATTTAATTAATGTGCCAGATATCCTTGCAAAAGCTTTTGCCAAGATTAGGTTCAGATTGTAAAGAAATCTCCAAGAGAAGGATAATTCTCAACACCTGCGGGCACTTTTATTAGCTGCTTGCATAGAATAGAGAACCTTATGTTAAAGTATTTGTCTCTGCTCCATCAAACTGACCTCCCATGCTTTTATCTGACCATAACCATAAGCAGATTTTAAAGCAGGCAGCAGAAAAGATTGCTAATGGGCAAGTGCTCTGTGGCAAATCCACTTGAATAAAAGTAACCTGTGGATGGAAGCAATCACAAAGCTGTTCAAAAGGGACACTATCAGAATTCATTGTCAAGGGTCAGTTCAAGTGCTCAGAGTAGGAAGAAAGTGAGAAAGATCAGTGGCGTTTTTAACGCACCCAGAAAAGGCATTTACCTAATGCAGTGTTATGCTAGATACAGGTCTGGGCTGCCAGGGCTGAATCTTGCCCTTGTTAAGGTAAATATCAAAATTTCCCTTGAACCTCTACATTTCCGCTTACCTGAAAATAATAATAATAATAATAATAGTAATAATTATTCAGAGGCAATTGATTCTACAACTCTGTGCAAAATGAGGTTCAAAAGTTGAATGCATAGCCACAATGCTTTTAAGCAAACAAAACCTCTGCAAACACCTGTAACATTTAGAAACAGATCACAATAAATCTAGAAAATGATTACATTTTGGTACTGCATAGTGTAATTTATCATTAAAATAAACTAAAGTTAATTTTATATTTATCTATATTTTGTTGTGAAGTAATACGTTTGTGTCTGAAATGAACAGTTACAACTGGCTAGCAGAGTCTTATGGAGTTGTTACTTACCCTTCCAACAGCATGCACTTTTAACATACTTATACGCAAACACATGGAACTCAACTTCTGCAACCATTTGTGCCCATGGAGCTGGAATTCTCAAATGTTCATTGGCCACTTTTATTGCTTTTATTCATTTAAATTACATTTTTTCTGGGATTCAGAAAAAAAGATCTTTCTTCTTACTAAAATAACAGTAAAGAGACACTGTTTTCCATTCTTCTAGTGATAATGAAATAAAAATAATGAGTAATTTCCAATAAAACTAACAGCCACCCCCAGCTTTTCAAAGTAGAGTATGAGTCTTCAGTTTATTTGTTTGTTTTTCCAATAAGCATTCTTGACAATTCACCTTGGGTTTTAGTGGTGTTATTGTTCTGGTTGCATATTATTGTTCCTGTCTCAGGTATACAAGAATCCTTTCAAATAAAATGATAATGAGAACTCACTTCTTAGAAATTTCAGGTCAGATTCCTCCTTCTTCACTCATGCTAACTCATTCTGCAAAAATGTAAGTCACTTGAATCAGTGATGGCAATAATGAATAAATGACCAGGAATTTGAGGAGAGCTGCAATGTTTGCTCACTGAAGCCTCAGTGAAAAAATTCAACTCATCTGTCCTTCAATTTTTCCCTGCAATCACCACAAAAACAGTGAATCACACAATATTAATTGATAACCCTTTACATTGGGTAATAGAATTTATGGCACCTATCATTTACTGTGTTGGCAGTGTTGCATGCTCTAAAGCACTACATGAGGTAATGAGAACAGAGCTGTGATAGAGCCCTGCCACCTGCCATCTTTTGCAGAGGAACTGAAGAATTGTTGGATCCTGGTGTCATGCCCCTAAAATTCTGGGGACAGGGCCCTCCCATGGCGTTTCTCAGAAGAAATACTGCAGCTGATCTAAAAGTGCACATACCAAAGCAACTTCTGAGCAAATATATTAGTCAATTCAGAACTGACATTGTTTCTTAGTTTTCAGAAAGCTGAATATAATATGAATCATAGCTAACTTTGCACACTTCATACACTGTGGATCTATAACCATGATTAGTTTTTACAAAGTTGATCACTAAAAAAAAAGCATGAGTCAGGATATACCTAAGGGTATTCGATTATACCCAAGAAGGTATAATTGCTGCTAAAGCTTTTATGTTATAGTTCCTAATTTTCTGAGTCTCAAGAAAAAGAGCAATCTGGCACTTTCTGTTTACTGGTTCTCTGCACTCCAAATTGAAGGTGATGGCTTTCTCCTGTTATGTTACAGCTTACAGTCTATTTAAACCCATGTGTAGGAATTTACTTTGAAAATTCTTCTGAGTGTATATTTTTGAAGAGCTATCTTTTAAAGGAACAAACATGACAGCATTTAACACACCAGTTTTTCTGTACAGAAAAGATCACAGCCAGCTATGCAGATATCCCTCCTAGGTAGCATTGCTCATACAGGCTTATTTGGGTGACTATTCAACTTGCTACAAACAGTGGAGTAAGAAATACTGCAGATCTCTGTCAAACATAACACACTTTCATATTCTGTGGAATTTGCTCAGGCCCCAGCCCTACGGACATCCATGCATCTGAGTTTTACACCTGACTAGTTCTGCCAGTTGAGAGATCTCTAGTCATGTGTGTCATGTTAAATGTGAAACTAAGAGCCTGCATGATCATAAGGAGTAATACAGGCACTGAAAAGACAGCATAATGTTGATGGGCAAATAACAAACATGTTGCAGCAGACAAGAAAAAGCAAACACCCAAGCCTGCTATAATAGCTTCATCAAAGCAAATTTGGCAAAAAGCACCATGGAGGCTGACTGCAATTTTTCCACTATAAGCCTGACCTGTAACTCATTAACCCACCACTAAAACAGCATTCACCTCTTGTTCGGTTCTTCGATGCACTCAAAGGAAAAAGAAAACGGAATGCATTTTTATTCCCCTCCCCTGGAAAAAGGGCAAGCCATGCCACATTTGTAAAATTTCATAAACACTAGAATAAGACTACAAAAGAACCTATTACTGACCTACTAAATATATTCATACTGCACTCAGAATGGCTTTAGTTATTTTTTTACCGCATTAACACCATTAGACTGTAACTCTTTTTTGATATTGCATTGCTCTCAAATAAAAATAAACAAACCCTTCTGTTACACCAAAATTGCAAAGGTCCCAAGACCAATGATAAAACTGCTTCTTGTTTATTTCCCTGGGTACTTGCCACCTGCCCCATTACTAACACTGTACTCCATAACGCTTGTATTTCCACAAAGCCCACAATGCCACCAAAATGACTTCTAAATCTTTTTCTAGAATCTGAGGTCATGAATGACTATTAGTTTAGGAACTATTAAGGGGAGCCATTTGACCAAATACTAACACTGTTTTCTCTTTCACAGGATTGTGCAGAATTTAAGACAACCTATAGCAGAGGGCACCATGGTTGTTTTTATACAGGTTTATCAGAGTGTGCCTAATGGAAGATAGATCCATAAATAAAATATCAAGCTTTTTTTAAAAAAAAAAAAATAATAAAAATCTGTTATTGTCCTCATTAAGACAAGATTAGATCATGCAAAAGGTCACAGCCTGAGAAAGACTGCAAAACATTAGTCAACCCCTTTAATTGGAGTTAAATCATTACTTCCCAAATTCCTTCAGGATTTGGAATTTTTGGAATTTTGAAACTTCTACACACAGCTGCCTGGAAATTTCCAAGCAGCTGTGTGTAGAAGTTTACTTCAGCTTCTCACAACAATCGCATGTTGAGGAATTTTAAGAGTTTTTTATTCCTTTAAGTATGCTTAAACCTGCCAACAAGAGCACCGCAACCTCTAGATAAAGGAGCATGGGTCCTTGGTATCCTGGAAGCGAAAGATCTTTTTTTACTTTTGTTGATAAATCTTAATTTTTCCTATTTTGAATCTCCCTATCTCACTGTTGACTTCTATATTAAGGTCAGTAACACCCAAATTTTAAAGTTGCATGCAGACTAACCAACCCATTACCTTTCTCCTGCTCTGAAAATCACCTACCTCATTAATATATTAATATAAAACCAAACTCAGATTTCCAGACAGTACTTCAGTGTTTTCTGTTTTTATTTCAGACCAGAGATGACGTCACTTGTCTTTAAGCTCACCTGGTTTAAAGAATGAAGTTATGACTTCCTGGAGTTCTAGGCCATATTCTACAAGCCAGTTTGGAGACTGAAAATTCTATGGAGCTTTTTGGGAAGAAACTTTATTTTGTTTTTGCTTCTGCTACCCAAGCAATGAAATTAATATGCATAACTCCTACAAGTGACTGTTCTTCAGAATTGATGCCAAAAGTGAACCTTATTGTTATTTCTGTTCTTAAGCAGCATAGCAGATGCTAGTTGGCACAATGCTCACAGACAGGTGAATTCCAGAACAAGATGAATAGCAAGAGCAAGCTCTCAATTCCTGCAGGATTCTCTCTGCTGCCAAGTCTGATTCTATAAAACATGACGTTCAAATGGAGAGTGAGCGTAATCCTATTCTGAGTTACAGGTGCATAATTTCAAAGTCTTGTGCTTTGGCACTATCCACATTGAGGCAGATACTGTCTTTTGCCTACTATGCCTCCTCTTCACATACTTCTTTTCTCTCTGAGATGCAGTTGTACAACATCCCTTTAAAAAAGCACTAGTCTGAGAGAATATATTCCTGCTTGCTCCAGTAAAGCACAGTCATAGAAACATTACAAACAGGATCGTTTCTTTTTGTCTTTCCTATTCTGAGAAATATTGGCTTACAATGGGTTAAAAGTCTGCTGCTAAGCACTGGCCATTTTAAGGTGTATTCTTCTCCCCTGCCGATTTGCTCTCTGACCTCTTGGGGGCCAGGGCAGTTGCAGACTTCATTTTTACTCTATTTCCTGGTCTCTCTCCTGGCTGTGCACTCAATGTTTCCACAGCAGATTAATGACAGCTAATAATATCTGATATATCTGGACATTGCCACATAATGAGTTGCAGTCCCACTGGGTGCCCGAAGTGTCACTACTAACAAATTCACCAGAGCTGCACATAATTAGCATGTAAAGGGAGTGATCATGCAGTAAATCTGGAGGGGAAGATGGATAGCCCATGAGGAAAAAATATAAGAAAAAAAAATACTGTTCTTAACACTCATTGGTAAATGTATGTTTCTTGGCATGAATATTTTCTCGATAACAAACTGTGAACAGGTTACCTTTACAGTAACATTATTCCTTCCACGGCTGATAGGCAGAATTTCATTATGCCACTGCTAATGTTACAATATTTCTGCAAAATGTCACCATATGTAAATTAGAAGAGGTTAGGGTTTCCATTTTAGTTTTCTTTTGAGATGCACTGTCCCTTCCTGCTCTGATTTAATTCTCCCTTCAACTAGTTTATAGATGTGTTAACATTGACCAAACTCTTGCAAAATAAAATTGGCACTGGAGAATCTTCTTTTTCAAATAGCACAGCCAAATAAGAAAGAAGAAACTCAATATGTGACAGAGAGCATAGAAGAGTAGAATTTAGTTCCATTGATGAGATTGTATCCAAAGTACAATCTTTCCTGTCACATCAGCAAATACCCAACAAAGAAAAATGGGAAGCATATACAGTTTGAGTTACCTGATCTTACCACATCTCCACCTTGTGACCACCTAGCTGCCCATCATACACTAAGTACCACCTGCAGACTGGACGCATGCAGGCAAAAAGGCCTCCCCAGGAGAAAGAGGTTGACAAGGAGCAGATGAATTGTCCTGATGGGCTGACTTCAGCCTGAAGAATCCTAAATGGTGCAGCTCTAATCTAGTTTAAGTCATTCACTCCTTCCCATAGAATCTATTGTCCACCAGTGCTTAAGGCGTTTTGTTTTAAAGTTTTTAGTTTTATTTGTGTTTATTTTGGCTTTTAGGGTTATTTGGATAGTTGGTGAAAAAAAAAAATAACTATTTCACAGTACAAGTATTTTCAGTCTATTATTTTACTGAACAGAGAGGTCTTTGGTCCTGAAGGCTTCAGCCTTTAAGTTGCTCTTGTGCATAATATACTTCTGCTGTCATATGACAGGAGAGGGAAAAAAAAAAAAAAGCCTCACTTAAAAAAAAAAAAAAAAGTATAAAATGTTTGTGTAACTCATATTTTTCCTGTGATAATTACTCAGAAACATGAAAGATCATAATGGCTTATTCTAATCTGTAAGTTTCTGCAGAAAGAGATCTTGTCCATGAGAACCTCCCAGTCTGCAGGATAAGCAAGCATTAGCTGCCCCAAAACAGGCTTCATATCAAAGGCATAAGTTGTGAAGAAATCAAGTACCAGCCCTGGTTTGTGATGCTGATGAGCACTATCAATTGACCCAGGTGCTGCAAAGAGTGTGAAGGGTTGTTCAAGAGTGCAGGGAAGTGCAATGAAATACCTTGGTAATAATAGGAGCTGCTACTGTCCAGTACTGCATTCTTGTTCCTGCCAGCATTAAGCAGCTAAGTGCACAAATCCCTAAATTGGCTCATAAGCTGTGAAGTTTCTGGCTTTGCAACTCACACCAAATTTCACTATGGCTAATGTTATATTGAATAATCACCTTTTGGAGTCATGAGACTTTAGTTTTTATCCCTTTTTTAAAGCTGAAGTTTCCAAACTGCATGCTGCACAGAAAAGTATAAACCCTGGAGGCTTGAAAAAAAGCCCAGTTAATTAGAAGTTAGAATTTATTTAATAATAATAATTAAAAAAAAAAAAAAACCCACAACTCAAGTTTTGCACCTTAGAAAGGACAGTGCTACTGGACGTTTTTTGTTGTTGTAGTTGTTTAGCTAAAAAAATAATAATAATAATAATAAAAATCTTTAAACTTCCTGACAAACAACTACTTTCATTTTGAATCCTTTGTTCTATCAGCACCCTATGCAGATAGGGTGCTATCTGCAATACATAATGGTAACTCCCAGCACAATTATGCATTTCAAAATTCACCTTCCTCACATCATCTCCTTGTATACAAAAAGGCTCAAATGAAAAAAAATACCAAAGAAGTCTTACATTGTTTGTCTTGTTTTTAATGAAAGAATGAACCTCACAGACTATCCAGCTCCCACAGGGGCCTTTTTTATGCAGTCTTAATGATAATTAACTGACAGTGATTGATGGCCAGTACTGAGGTAATAGAAGATATAACTATCCTATTCCATCCAATTCACTTTTCTTACGATTTCTTGTTTATTTCAGAATAACATCAAATAAGTTATTTATATGATTTGAATTTTGCATTTAAAGTTAATCTAAAACACAGTTGCTGAACTGCTTTGCCACCTTGTTGACTGGGATTTCACAGCCTCAAATTTAATTCTGTGTTAAGTTTACAGAAGGCTGTTATTTTTACACTAGAGACAAAAGAAAGCACGCACATACATTGAAATACATTTTGTGGCTAGAAGTATTTCTACTGGAATATGGGCCCAAAATTTCTGAATATGTCCACACATAATTTTGTTGAAGAGAACACGACTCTTTTATAGCTTAATTGCAAAATATTATTGCTATCGCTGTAGACATCTCTAGTGTTTGTTTTTTTTTGTTGTTGTTGTTTCTTTTATTTTTTTCATATAAGTAATGAACGTTTACAAAATCTATTATAAAATCACCATTGCAGAAAAATTCCCAGAGTCTCACAATTTTGATCTTGTAAAATCTCACAGCATCTCATATATTGTAGAGAATGACTACATAACATGAGTACATTTTATGTTTTATTTTTCAAATCCACTTTTTTAAATAATTATTTCCATTATGCTAGTTGTGTCAGCTTTAAAATTTTGTATATATATATCAAGTGTTTTAAAAGCTTTTTGAAGAGGTCTCTTACTTTACCAGGACAATGGTCCAATTTGAAATGTATGTTACACAGAATACCTCATGTTTTAAATTTCTTCATCTGACAGGTGAATTCTCTCTAGTATTTTATCACTTGTTACATTTAAATTGTATTATTTTAACTGCTTTTCTGAAAGACTCTCTTTCATTTATTAGTTAACAGAAAAATAATGTCTTTTTAGACATGCAGCATCCCCTTAACAGTTTCATTGCCCTTTCAGCTTGTCATTATATACAACAAAATGTACACAAAATGCTTCCCTTGGGAGTTGGAGGTTATCACAGTGCAGTAGTTTCAAAGTGAGTCTTTTATGCCATTTAGCACCCTGAGGATGTGAGGTGACACCCCTGATCTCTCATGAGACATATCACTGATTTCTTACAGATTTCAGTGATAAAGAAATTACTCAGTTATTGTATTTTGTAAATTCTAGCTCCCTTCTCCCCTCCAAGACAGAAGTTGTAAATCTGCATCTGCCAGGGCATCAAGGCATGTTCAGTTTTTGCTTATCTTTATGCCCTCCTTGACAAGAGCAACAAATCAAGTTCAAACATCCTGCACAGAAGAGTCCTTCACTGAGTCAGACACTGCTAAACCCAGACTACTGGACAAGACTTCCATGGAGGTCTATCAACAAGTCTCAATCATCTGTACAGGTTATTGCTCAGGGACAAGGGACGCTTCTTTCAGCCCAGGGGCTGCCTGCTGTCACCAAAACATTCTTTTCCAATACAATCAGTGGTCATTTGACACATGGGAGACCTCCAGGATTATGGTCAATAAACCTTCCCCATTATGAGAAGAACAACTAATGGACATGAATCATGTATTTTCAAGCAGTAGAGACAATGGGCAATACATAAATACTTCCTCACTTAAATGATTTTTGAAGAATGCTTTCCATAAAATAGTTTGGAAAATGTCAGTCTGTGCACACAAGACCTTTGCCTCACACAGAAGTGATATAGTCCCACTGTGTCAAATACAACTACACATGGAAAAAACAGTTGCGAGAAAACCAAATATGGTTTGTTGTTGTTCTCCTCAACTGAGGTAACAAAACAGCACCAAAGAATTTTGTGTGAAAAGAAGCCTTCCAGCTGACCTGACTCTAAGCACTTCCTTTCCAAGTACTGAGACCAAAGCAAAGGACACGACTGTACTCAAGTCACAATGTAGGAGCAGGGAGAGGCATTTTACCCTTCACCCTACTGACTGGCACTTGGATGCAAAAACATCCTCTAGTGAATCCTGTTGAATTGAATGCCCCCTGCCCTCCTTAGGAAAGGATCCTGGCCATCAAGGAATTGCATATTTCAGTCTCTGGCCCAAATTCAGCTGCTTTTTTTTTTTTTTTTTTTTTTTTTTTTTAATCTAATGAGAAACAAAACTAATAGAGGCTGTGGGACTTCACATTAACTCCCCCAATGTAAATTGTACCCATTTTGTTATTACCTGATAAAATGGTTGATTTAAGTTTAAAACCCAACAGGTAAAGGTAGGAAAAGAGCTGAGCTTTGTCAAGTTCTAACGTCTGTGTAGCTGCTCTCTGTGCTGCCTAGGTATTATTATTTTTTTTTTTTTTGTAATTATTTATTATTATTATTATTTTTATTTCTTTTTAAATGTTCAACATTTAAGTCCACAGAGTGAGGAAAGAAGAAAGGGAATCTCTTTGTTTCATCTAAATCTCATTGTTTCTCGTTGTTAATTTAGAAGAATGCATCCAAACTAAAAGTAGGCACCTCAGTACAATGAAACTAACAGAATCTGCATGCACTGAAGAGTGATGCAAAAGGATAGCTGTAAATCATATTTTTCAGTCCATAGTTTCTGACCACCATGCCTGAAAATTTGGAACAAGCCTTCTTTCCAAGCTCTTACTGCATATGCCTGCTGTGCAGGCAATGGAAAAACATCCTACCAGCTACTGATAACATGGAGGAGACCAAGAACTGCCTCTGTTTTGACTCCAGCGTTCAGTTTGAGGAGCTGAGGTTTTACAAACAAAAAGCAGCAGAGATGTTCAATTTTGTTTTTTCTCAAGTACATATAGTTGAAGGAACAACACACAAGCCCCATTACACTGTCTCTGGAAAAAAAATATCTTCAAAAAAGTCGTATTTTGCTAAAAAAATAAAAAAATGGATATAACTGGAAAAGTTCTCTCTTATCTGAAGTAGGATGCTAACAAAATGATACGAGTGTCTGCTCCAATTAATGAGAATGGAGTTTGTTTCTTGGGAAAGGTCCATCTCCCTTTGCCCCATGGAGTCTCAGCAATGATCTAATGCAGCTTGAAGGCTATTAGCAGGCAGGCAAACAGCCTCTTCCCAGAGCAGACAAAAAACAGTTAAAAGCACAGCTAGTGTCATGACTCCCTACATCCAATTCTATTCTTTCTGTGCATACTGTTTGCTAAAACAATGCCTTGTTAGGTCCAGATATTCAGGTATCCCTTATGCTCACTCATGCAAACACCCATTAATTCTGAGCCAATGTTACTTTGCCAATACCTCATATAGGGAAACTAGAAAAATGGAAAATGGCCCCTGTGAAACTTGGTGATTCATCTAAACAAATTTCACTCCAGAAAAGAAAAATTTGTACCAGTCTGCAGCCCAATTACCTCAGACAAATCTGCCATGATTTGTAATTATATTATTATTTTAAATTAATCCATCCGTGAATTACAGTTGTCTTTTTGTTTATTCACTTGTTTAGACTGGTCTAAAAAAATGAGCAAAGCTTTCAGCCATTTATAATAAAGGCAAAACAACTAAAAAGACCTTTCTTTCGTTTGCATTAATGAGTTCATCCCAAAATATATATGCAATAATATAGGAAATTAAGTTATAAATGTAGGGATGTGCTCCAAGTCACCATGAAAATCTGCATGCAAATGCATAATAATCACAAATCTACATTATTACAATATTAAAAAATACCTACAATTAAATTATCATGTGGAAATAATCATAATGTTATTGGAAACTCAATTATTGTGGCAACCCTTGTCGGGGAATTAGCAGGCTATGGCAAAGGCAAGTCAGACCTGAATTCATCAAATATATATTATCACAATATTACATGTTCACTTCGATTCCATGCAAAGACAAACATCCTCACTCACTAGTATCTGCTCAATGCATTTGTATTATTCATGAACAACTCTGTGATCTATTATACATACAAAACTGATTGTATGCTGCTTGCCGGAGGCTACAATGCAGAGACACAGAATTAATTTTATTATATACACATGCATGATAATTGTGTAGAATTCAGTCAAATATCAAACTCTGCTCCTGTGCTCCATTATTTTACTTTCCAAAAAAGAGGTCTAAGGTCAGCAGCAATTTCTCTTTGGCGACAGTGAAACTTTGTCATTTAGAGTAGAAAGTTCCTGGGTACTAATGAGCCTGGAGCTGTGATGAATGGTCACACATTCCCTTTCCTCTCCAACCCCCACCCATCAAAGGGAAACTGTAACTTTTATTGAGATTCTCAAGAATTCATTGCCTCTCCTGCACACAGAAGTCACTTTGGGCTGCAGACTTAAAGACTTCATTTGTCAGAAATGAAGGCAACACTTTTAGAAACTTGACTAAAATTTTGTAAGAAGATGATCAGTGCAATTAGGGAAACTTGTTTTCAGATGTAGTTTTATTTCTGTAGGAGCTGCTGTTATTTTCCTAAAGTTTTGGTAAACTCTGCAGAAGTGTTTTCACAGGGCCATTTTTCCTGCTACAAGTTTTCATTAAGACTAAACAACTACCTGCAACTTTCTTCAACAGCGCAAGGAAGTGATAGGAAGACCCTTTTCTTCTTCCAAATCTTTTGCCAGGAAGACAAAGATTAGTACCACCCCCCCAAAAAATGTATAATGTTTTAAGACAAAATAAAGAAATGTATCAAACCTGAGAAGTGAGTTGAACAAGGTGCACCACCTCAAAGACCTGGGCTGTATTTAACTGTTACTGAAAGCCAGCAGGACACTTTACTTCAACATGTGTCAGATTAGGCAAAAGCCAGGTTGACTGGGGTAAGTGGCATACATGTGAATTTCAGCAACAGTAATTACTGTCACTCATCTTCTGAGATAGGCATTGATTCCTGTGCACTGCAGATACACAACTCACCATTGTACACATTTGGCTCAAAAATAGTTGTTTGAGGTATAAAAAAGAAAAAGCATATGCTCAGAGCAAGAAACCTTCCAGTATACCATTCCCCATGCTGCACAAGAATCAAACTGAAATATTTTTCCTTGTAGTTCCATTCACTTCCATTCTCCATCCACCTTCCAGACATTTGGCCATCATATTTATCTCAATCTCTGAGCTTTGAGGTTGAAGAAAATTTACTCCCCAACCCATACACTCAGAGAAGGGTCCTATTCGCATATTCCAAATATGCTATTATGTTACTGCACTGCTTTCAACAGTCATAAGCAGAATATGAACTCCACAACATTTATAATCTAGATTATAGTTTCCCCTCCAATGTACTCATCAGCCACATGGAGATTTAAACATCATCATCTTTAAATCTTTTTATACTTAATGCCATGCCCAGAGTCAATAATTTTCTCACTCCAAGAACAAAACTAGATGATCTGGATTTAGTAATGCAGAGCTCGCAAGTTCACCACAATATCCTAAATTTACTATAAATAGGTAAGATCATCACTGTTCTAATTAAATAATGTGATTGATACAAAATCTCAGGAAGAAGGAAGTGAGCTAATCCTTCACACAACATGATGCTCTATCACAAGGGGTAACAAGTGAATAAAATTGGCTTTTTATCTTGACAGATTCATAGCCATCAAAAACAGAAATGGAAAAAGTCACAGCTTAGACCAGTCTCCAGGTCAGCACCCAAAATGACAGAGGTGCAAAGCAAAAGCCTTTACATTAAAGAACTGTCAGTAATGCATTCTGCCACTAATTGTTTATAATTCCATTCTTGTCTTAAAGATCTGTTTTTTGTTGGCCACAAGCTACATTTTCTTTAGTGATAGCAATGACTCTGAGGGTGCCAGCACCTTTTAAACATCTAATTCTTCCACTATAAATACACTTACTTTCTGCCATATCAGGCTTGCTAAGCAATTAGTTAATCAGTGGGACCTTAAGGCTCAGGCAGTGTCATTTAAATTCAACCTCTGCTGTAGAAGTAGGTAACAACCTGTTGGGTCATGCAGATTTTCCTAGAGATTTTTAGCTCAACATGCTCTGACACGCAGTAAGATAATGGGGAGAAAGACCCTACTGAAATTAATTAGTCACTATTACTTGAGACCTGCCAGTTCTTATGTACATGTAAGAAATTCCAGTAGCTCGAGCTTATACCTCTGATCAGAACTCAATTCATGTGCTTTGGGTTCAGATAAAAATAGAGTTTAAGAAATTTTAGTTGAACCTTATCCAAACTACCAAACCTCTTAACCATAAAAGGACATTTAAATAGTTGAAAGGTGTCCTGGTTTCAGTTAGGACAGAGTTAATTTTCCTCCTAGTAGTGGTAGGGTGCTATGTTTTGGATTAGGATGAGAAGAGTGCTGATAACATGCTGATGTTTTAATTGTTGCAGTGCAGTGCTTACACCAAACCAAGGACTTTTCAGCTTCTCGCTCTGTCCTGCCAGCAGGCAGGCTGGGGGTGCAGCAAGAGCTGGGAGGAGACAGACCCAGGACAGCTGACCCAAACTGTCCAAAGAGGTATTCCATACCATCTGACGTCATGCTGACGTCATATAGGGGTGGCTAGCCGGAGTTGGAGGGCCAGACTACTTGGTAATAGGCTGGGCATCAATCAGTGCAATTGCATTGTGCATCATTTGTTTCATACACATTATTATTATTATTATTATTGTTATTGTTATTGTTATTATCCTGTCTTAATAAACTGTCTTTATCTCAACTCACAGGCTTCACTTTCCCATTTCTCTACCCCATCCCAGAGAGGGAGGGGGTAGGGTGAGCGAATGGCTGTGTGGTGTTTAGCTGCCGGATGAATCACACACAGAATCACAGAATTTCTAGGTTGGAAGAGACCTCAAGATCATCGAGTCCAACCTCTAACCTAACACTAACTGTCCCCACTAAACCATATCCCTAAGCTGAGTTAAACCACAACAAAAAGACATATTTTTATTAAACCTGAGATTGTAACTTTTTCTGGTCTGTCTGAGAACATCTCCATGGGTTACTCATGATGGCACTTTCCCACTTGATTTCAGCTGCTAACATACAGAAAAAATACAGACATAACATAGAAATATAAGCTATAGAAAACATATAGAAAAGCATAGCTGTTAAGCCACATTTTCTAAGCTTGTAAAATATGCTTATTTTAAAATCGCATAACTTTCATTTGGTTTGCCCAACACCAGTAGCCAAACTGGCAACACCAGCTAAACAGCAAATTGTTGCAAGGACAAGTGTTCTTATTTCATTGGTTAACATTTATTTTGCATGTATCCATAAAACACTACTTGAAAGATCATGCATACACAGAACAGATTGTGGCTTCATTTTCTTGCCAGCTATCAAACAGCATTGCTCATGCACAGATCTCTTGGCATTTAATATTCACAGTGTGGAAGCGTCTACTGATTCTAATAAGGCTCAAGAAATCTTATGAGAGGTGTTGCATAAACAAAGATTGTCACAAAGCACTTACAGTTGTACAGATTGACAACTCAACTATTGCTGCATGGTGTTTTGTGTGAGCAATATTTTTCAACATTTTTCAAGTCATCTTTAAAACAATTGGTATTATAGGTATAGGTAGCAGCATTAGTAATGGACGGAGCAATACTACAGCAGCTGCTGAGGTAAAATAGCTACTTTATCTTACTTTTGTTTGCATACATAAAGTTCAATGACATGATAGTATTAGCCAAGTTGAATTTAATTCAGAAGAAAAAAAAAATTATTAACTCTTCTTCAAACACAGTTTATGCCAATATACATCTTTTAGTCTTCTTCCTAATGGAAACAATCTGACATTTGATTTCAGAATTTAGTAGTTTTGCATTTATTTAGTTTTGAGAGATGTGCCCCTTCTTCAACACTTCTTTCCCCAAGAGACACAACCTAATTAATAGTGGTCTCCTTGTGTTTGGTTTAACATAACACTTACTTTCACTCTTAACCAATGAAATTTATTTATTTATTTATTTATTTATAGTTCAGGCATTTAAAACAAACAACCAAACAAAATCTTTGCACATCCCTCTTGGCCATGATCATCTTTCCTTCCTGGAGCGCATATTAAGACAGAACAAATTACTTCTGAGCTGAATTTAGTATTTAAGTGTTCTTTGGTAAACCTGCATTACTGACAGAGAATAACCTTCCCAAGATTGAGCAGAGAGCTGGGTGGGTTCAGAACACAGGAGTAATAGTCACATAGATCCCCAGAACTCATTATTGCAGCCCACTAAAGGTCCCTGGCAACCTAAATCCCCAAATGAGGATGCTATCTCCTTGATGCCAACGATGTTTCTACAGTAATTCTGCATACAAAATTCCAGGCTTGTGCTGTGTAAGAGGCTATGCAAGGGCCCAAGGAGATAAATAAGCCCATCTAACATTGCGCATACCCAGAGGGCTTCCATAACTTTGGGTGCAAGGAAATATAAAGATGGAACAATGACAATGTTGTGCTGCACTTCAATTGTTGAATTACTTCAATACCTTGCTCACAGATGTGCGCATGTGAATCTAATCAACCAGTTCCTCATAGACAGCAGAGATTATTTTGAGAGATTATTCTGCTACAGGAAATGAAGTGCCAACCTTTCATGACCACTTGTATATAGGTATGCATGCATACACAAACACACACACACCCTCCCTCTATTAGCACACAAAAAAGACACGGAGAAAAAGTTTCCCATATATAGCATATTATTCACAGAAAAATATGACATTTAATAATAGACTTGCCTTTTCATGTAAGGAATAGATGATTTACAAAAAAAAAAGAAAAAAAGGTTGCTCACCTACCGAAACATTTCTAACAAACAGGGTAAAAGAAAAGGTGGCATCATCAGAATTGCATACAGAAAATGAAGTTTTTCCAATGTCTTTTGTTCTCAAAACATTTTTGCATTTTTGCTTCAGATTCTAAACCAGCACATTCAAATCTTCAATTTGCTGTTCAATGATAGGGAAACAAATTGCCTTTTTAATGCATACAAACAAACAAACAACAACAACAAACTTGTATCTTTCTTCTTTAATTTTCCCTGTGTGTGTTTGTTACTTACTGACATCAAATTTCCTGCAGGCATCCTAACCTTGCAATTGGAGAAACTGCTCTAGGGTTTTCCAAGTGTCTAATACACCTGGATAAAAAGTGCTAATTGTCACCAACTTCCATTAAATGACAGCAGTAAGGCACAAAATATGCTTGATTTGCAGACACTAGTGCCATTGGGAGTTAGCAGCAGATTACTAATTGTGCAGACCTTGAACATTCCCCTGGCACTGATAGTCTGGGCTTCTAATGTAACATCAGATTATAAAGCCTTTGTTTCTAGCTTGCTTTCCTAAGGAAATAAGGCTTAGGCAATTGTGCTGCTTCTCTGTACGTGTTCTACCTGTTCTCTGTACTGTTCTACCTTCCTTATAGGAGGGTAGAGGTCAGAAACATAAAATGGCCTTAGCAGTTTTGTGAAAAACAGGCAGCTGGGTAGATATCAATCCCGAGCTTAAGTTCGTCAAATATCCTGGCTTTCTAGGCTTGGGTATCCTTGAGGAGACAGAAAAAAAAAAAAATATATACATATATATATATATATATTCTGCTGAAGTTCCTTTAATGCTGAAGTGATTTACCATATTTAAAGGGCTGCAGCTTTAGCATCAGATCACCTTTACTGATCATGTGTCAGACTCGGTTCCCATTTATTTATATATTTTTTTTCCTTTTTTAATACATTTGTTTACTTTTTATATCCTGCTTCAGCTTAAGACCTCAAGTGTGCATCAGCCATCACCTTGCACAGATATAATCTTATTTCAGCTTCCTGCAGAAAAATTCAGGGGCCAATGCTTTACCTTCCCCTTTCTCTTGTCCTGCTGTTGCTGCTTCTGTTCTCCACACATGTGGGTACATACTCTTGGCTAGGAGGACTCCAACTCATGGCATGCAAGCTTACTGATGGCTCCAGTGACGTTACAAAGCTCATTTCTACATACAGCAACATGATTATGGAGAAGGTGAGGGCAAGGCTGAGTTAATGTGTTTCAACACTTCTTTCTTGGTATTTATTACCATGCCATAACATTCCTGCAACCTGGACTGCTGCTGCTCCAGCTGCTTGTGCAAGCTCCTGATCGAACGCAACAGTAGAAGTCTTCGGTACATAGCTAGCTGGAGCCGGTACTTCTCCTTTTCTTCCTTTTTCTTATTTTCTAAAGTCTCCATTACTTTTGTGGTCTTCATCCAAATGGCCAGGCCCAGACTGCAAGGGGCCACAATGCCCTTAGTGCCGCTCCCTGCATACTGTGTGCTGGCACCCTGCACGTGGCAGCACCTAAGGTTCTTCACTGCCTCGGGAGGCTCGCCAGCCACCTTGGACACCTCAGGGGGATGTGGTACCTCCAAATCCTGGTTGCAGTCGCAGCAGAGGCTTTTGGAGCGTAGTGAAGTGATGTCCACAGGCTTGAGTTTACAGACTGCCAAGGGGTACAACGAGCCCCCTGCTGGTGCGTTTACAGCTGTCAGCTGGTACTTTGCCAACCCAGAGGCCCTGCTCTGTGCCTGGCTGCCACTGATGATCTCTGGACCAGCAAGGGCTTTTGCTTGGGCCACAGCCTTGCTAGAGAGGACAGACAGTCTTTCTGGCACCACTGAACTTCCCTTGTCTTCATTGAAGCTGGCCAAAACCAGACTGGCAGGGCAACCAGGGGATGCTGTTACAACATCACAAGTGGGAAATGGGTCTTCCTTACTGTTATTTTGGATTTTCTCTTCATCTATTGGTATTATGTCTGCTTTCTCAGCCATTTATTGCATGAGCTACAGAAAATTTCTGTGGACAAAGTGAAAGTGAGAGGATTTCATTTTCACATACGCACATGCGTGCACACAGCAGCCCAATGCAGAGTGACATTTGAAAAAAGAACCTCTCCTTGTATTTAACCAATGGACCTATTAGTTTTCTAATAAAGCACAACCCTTGGGTCACTTCAGGCCATTTCTTGTGATTTGCATTGGATGTTCTTCAAGACACAACATTAATCCAATAATAATTAAAATGATATACTGTACTATTAACATTCTCAAATCTTTAAAGCAAAGTGATCTATCCCTGCAGCACTGGCTGTGCTGACTAATTAAACAGAATACAGTTGTAAATGGGTATTGTAAGCACTTCTCCCATTTAAGAACACAACTCTAGCAAGTGTAGTTTGTAGAGACGGGCAAGTTATCAGGATTGATCAGCTCTAAAGAGAGGTAGATGTACCACAAACAGCAGGTTGCATTTAAATGCCCTCTCTTAGATCAATCTGCCTGCTAGCAGTTTGTTTACAAGATTGCCTTTTCCCCTCCTATTAACTCTAATAGTAGAGCTATATTAGTACTATGCTAGCCATAGACAGGAAAAAAAAAAAATACTCACCGAGGTTGGTGGGGGAAAGAATAAGAGTTACAGTGCCTTGTGTCTGTTCGTTGTGTTTTCTTGCATATGAGTCAGCAAAAACTGGAACAGAAACATCACTGTGCAGAGGCAGGAGCAACAACAGCATTACTCAGTTCCACCCAGCAACAACAGTGAATCCCAATCACTGAGAAGTGCAGGGTTGGCTTTTTTTTTTTTTTTCCTTCCTTACTAAGAAGGTGTTCTTCCCTGGCATCCAGCTTTATGTTACCTTTGAGCATCAAAATGAAAATCAAGATTGGATGACACTACTTTTCAGATTCAAAAGCAAACACACCTGATCCTCTCAATCTACAGGGGGAAAATATATATGGCCCATCCTGTCCCTGTCAGTCAGCAAGGAGCAAATAGAGCACCAAAAACAGGGTGGGGCATTCTGGACTCCAGTGTATACATGCTTTTCTTCAGAGAGAATAAGCTTAGGTAAGCTTTAGATGTATGAAACTAAAGTGAAACTAACTTTCAGTGCCAACTGAATGCTAAGCATAAAGGCAGTCAGAAGGTACAGATTTAACTGTCTAATATACACTCATATTTAATTACACTTGCCTAATCTTTAAGAAAAAGCTCTGCATCTAACTCAAGTATCCAAGAGAACAGCAAACTTTATCCTCACCTTTGATGTTTAGAAAAGCTACCTTCAGCATCCTCTCTCACTCGTAATGCCACAGAAAAAAAAATCAAAAATTATCTATCTGCATCTGCTTTGGTGAATTTGCCACAGAGATTAAGTTGCTCCAAGGCTTTCTCTACTCCATTCTGATAATATGAATAAAAGAACCAATCCAAAATACCATACAGAATATTCCCAGAGCTGGGAAAGAGTGAAGGTAGATCATGTCTCCACTTCTACATATGCTACAATAAAGATGACACCCCCTCCCTTTTTTCTTTTTTTTTTTTTTATTTTTAATTTTTCATTTGTATTGGAGATTCTTTTTTCTGATTAATCTGTTAAATGGGATATAATTCTAATCTTGAACATCTGAACTCTACCTAACAAATTCAGATTTATACCCCAAGGTCAAATTGAACACAGGTTCATTGTGAATTTATATATAAAGAGAGAGAGATATTGTATTGAATTGGTGAAATAACTAAACCTGCTGTGTTTATGTGCCAGATCATGCTGTAGATTATATACTTAATAATAGGAAGAGATTAATATGCAGTGAGTCAATAAACTGCAAGGTTATATCTCTCCGATTCTCATTTATCTGAATCATGAGTTAGGGAAATTGAAGAATATAGAATTAAGATACCAGGGATTTTACTTTGTTATACTCCATGAAGGATCATTATAATACAGCATTGTACATGGTCTTTTAGCTTTGGGTGCTCTTCTCTCCAAAGCACTGCAAGCATATCTTCCATCTACAAAGAGAATAGCAGATGACTGCTAGGTAGTACATTGTCTTGAGCTACGTTTCTAACGGTGATAATATTGTTTTTCACTTCTAACTTTACAGCAGTTTGCTGCAAAAATAACTATTTTCTAATAGTCTAACAGGGCATGATAGAGCAGAGATTGCTTTTTGTTTTGTTTTTTAATCACTGTACAGCTTAAATTTTTCAGCAAAGTTTTACAGGTAGTGTTGATCTTTGAAGGGGGAGGGATGAAAAAGACATTTTGCGTAGCAAATTTGTTAAATCAAAAATAACATTAATTTCTTATAGGTATGGATCTGGACGGGATAAGTGACATTTGATACAAGCAGATAAATTTAGTTGATACAATCAATAAAATTACAAATAAAATCAAAACTCATTGAGCTAGATGACTTTTCATAGAGTACAGCTACTTCAGCTGGAATCTATGAAATTTAACATCAAGAAGTAGTCGGTCCATTGGACTACCAGCTTCAGAACAGAAATATAGTAAGATAATGTAACGATAAAATGCAATAAAATGCAAATGGCATTTATAGCTAAGTGTGCATGCATGTTTTGTTTTTATCCTTTCTTCCTTTGTTCACAATTTTCTAAAATTTCACCTGCAGCATTAGATGGATTTTTTCTAGATTCAGTTCCTGCCTGAAAGTAAATATATATCGAACATTTCAGATTTCAGCCAAGGATTAAGATGTTTGAGCAGTCTTAAGGGCTTTCCAAAAAAAAAAAAAATGGGGGTGGGGTGGGGTTGAATGGGGGGGGAGGGGGGTGGCTAGGGGACTAACAGATGCATTTGCCTTTTGTCCTATTGACAGACTGGGAAACAAGGAAAAAGAACATAGTGTTTCAAATTGAAACATGTAAATTCTTGTTCTGAGATGATACAACAATCTTCTTTCTCCCCCTTCCCCCCCCATCCCCACGACTGCTACATTGACAAAATGATTCCTACAGGTCAGCTTTCTTATTTGCAATTCAACAGTTTAATGGGAGACCTGAGAAGACCTGCCAGTACCTTCTGTGAGACACACATTGTGCCATTCCACTTGGTGAAGAAACTTTTGGAAGAGTTTGCTGTTTGAACTGAGAACCTGTTGCAGGTAAATGTTGGATGTCTCTTGCTCAGTTCAGACTTGTTTTCCTAGGTAATATCTGTGGGAAACTTTACAGGCAGAAGCTGCTTCACATTTCACAGTGAATACATCTGTCAGTTGAGCACAATGAGCATTTCAGTTAAACAAAATGAAAGCCAGAATGCCTCCAGTTGAGGTTCATTGCATTTTATTCCCAGCCATTCACAGGTAGATATGACCACAGAAGTTTCAAGATGTAAACCCTACATATCTACATTCAAGCTGTCAGTCTTGCATACACCTACAAGGTCTATGCCAACAGAGGTTTTAACCCACTGTCCTCCATCAAGTATCAGCTATGAGAGGTACTTGTCCACCTACAGGCGCAGGTCCATAAACATATGCCAAAACGCTCTGTGCTTACATGTTTGTGTGAAAATGGCTTAGCTCTCACCAGCACATCTCAACACATCACATGGGGACAGGAAATAAGTGGTCACAGGAGAATCCCTGCAGATTGTTGTGACAGTTAAGCCTCTCTTTCTCTTTCCATTGTAAGGTCATTCCCCAGCTTGGACAGTCATGAGAACAGGAAGATGCTTGGCCTTATAGCTAAACACAGTTATGAACAGCATCAAAAAGTGATAAACATTGGTGGAGATATTTTATTGGAGTTACAAGACTGTGGCCTAGGAAGTTATGTTGTTATGTATTTGGGTCTGGGGAATACTTTTAACAAAGTAGTAAAAACATCCTATTACACAGTAGTGTAATTCCATATTTTATATTAATTGCTCTCAAAGATCAAAAGCCATATTCCATCTGTTAATGTATATACTCATGTGCTTTCCTATGAAATCAATGAGATCCACATGTGTATATCTGAGACCTAAATTTTCCCCCAAAGATTCTTTAAAATCCTTTTACAGGGCAGCAGATCATAGAAGAAAGTCATATGCTCCCTTTCTTCTGCCTCCATATCCAAACCAGACATGAGTTATTACAAGTTGCTCTGCATTACACTGGATGGTAACAGTACCCAGAGGGGCTGCTGGCCAGCCAGGGATTGCCATCGTTCAGCATGTGCCACTCTCACCTTTATCCACACTTAGTCATTTTTGCAGTCCTCTCATACTAGCAAAGAAATGCAAAATAAATGCAGCCCAGCTTCACATGCCGTCCACTGATGATATCAGGAAGCACTCCACATATTTCAGTGGCAGGGTCGATGGGACATCTCAATGGCCTTCTATGGCCTCACAGAAGGAAATTAGGTATCTGCACACATTTGCAATGCAATCATATGTGCCGATAATCTGAAAGTGTTAAAGACAAAAAGTGAAGTGAATACATGATCTTACCAGCGGGGAAAAGTTCACTGGCTTCAAACATCAAAGTGCAGGAATTCCAGCTGACTATGTTAAAGACAGAAAACAGTGAAACAATCTGCCATGACTGGCAAAAATTAGTAAGTTTGCTGTCAGTCTCAGCAGAATTGAGCACAAGAGGTGCAAATCTCTGAAAGAATAGCTCAAACTAAGGTTGAGTTGAGTTTGCAAGCTTGGAAATCTCATGACAGCAGGTGCCAAAATGACCTGAACATTAGGAAGGGCTTGATGACAACATTCACCACAGTATTTCAGCAACTTAACCCTGCTTGAGTCTAAATATTCCCAGGGACACAAAATGAAAAATACACTCATATAGTTTCACAAAAATATCCTAAAAGCAGAATGTGTTGATTTTCAAGGCAGCAGTTGTTCTCCCTATCATCTTTGTGGAAAGCATTACTTGTTATTTGAATCCCTTTTAACTAAGAAAAAGAATAATGGTGTCATTGCCTAAACCAGTTACCTGTGTAAGTCTACATTCCCACTATCTGATCCATGAAGCCACCTTTTTATGTTGAAGAAGCCACAAAGAAATTTCTAAAGTCTTGTTGTGAATTCTGGGATCTACTTCAGCTAGCACAGTAAGCACTAACCATTGCACAGAGACTGAAATGGAAAGGGACATTCAGTAGGCACACATAGCCAACATGGTGCCTGATTTTCCCTCATCTCAGCAGACAGATGTGTATTGCACAAATACAGTGGGCATCAATTTACCCACTGAAATGGGTGGACTTTTTTCATTGCAAAGCAAGCTCATTGCATTTCTAGAGAAGGTTAAGAAAGTTACACAGTGGAAAAATAAAGGAGGAAGGCTTAGATGTTCACAGCATTTGCAGCATAAACCCATAATGGGGCTGGGAAATGAAAACCTTTATATTGAATTCAAAGAAACATAAATCTTGAAAACTGCCTGTTTACCCCAGTTACAATTTATTTTTCTAATGGAGAGAATATGCTTGTCTATAATTCATTACAATTATACTGAAAAGGTAAAATGGATTATATGCTGAAAAAAATTGATTGTAAGCAATACCTTCCTTTAAAAGTTAGAGTGCAAAAGGAATTCCAAAGTACCAGTGAAAGTTTGATTTTTTTTTAATTTTTTTTCCCCCAAAATAATGAAAAGATTATGCTTTATGGTAGCAAAATTAAATACGACCTTCTTCAGTGTGATGATGGTCCTCCCCCCTCCCCTTTTTTAAAAAAATCTTTATTTTGAGGGGTGTCTATCATATTGTTCAGAAAAAAAAAGCCTAGGAAGTGGAGAGGAAAAAAAAAAAAAGTAGGAAGATAATGTAACCTGAAACACTGTTACAGCCTTCCTATGGAGGAGAGACTAAAAAATTCTTCCTGCAGAAAAGATGGTACTTGAAATATATTTGAATAACTTCCAGTATTAAAAGATTTAAAAGTATTGTTCATATATTGTAAGTACTTCATGTCTAGCAAGTAAGTAGTGGATTACCCAACCTGGCCATTAGATATCAAATGTGAAAATGAATATATAGACAACTCATGCGTCTAGTTAAAATTCATGTCCAGTACACATTGAGGGAAAAATCATTTCTGCTGAGGA